TACAGCATCGGTATTACCAAATGGAAAAGTATTAGTTACTGGTGGAAACAATAATGATGGCTATCTAAGTAGTGCTGAATTGTATGATCCATCAACAGAAACTTGGAAAACTACTAGTAGAATGAATAGTGAACGAGGCGAGCATATTGCAACCGTATTAATAAATGGAACAGTATTAGTTACTGGTGGAAATAACTATGGTATTCTACGTAGTGCCGAATTGTATGATCCATCAACAGAAACTTGGACATCTACTAGCAGCATGAATAGTAAGCGAGTGAAGCACACAGCATCCGCATTACCAAATGGAAAAGTATTAGTTACTGGTGGACAAAATGCTGATGTACTAAATAGTGCTGAGTTGTATGACCCATCAACAGGAATTTGGACAGCTACTGGTAGCATGAATAGTAGACGAGTGCATCACACAGCATCTGTATTATCAAATGGAAGTGTGTTAGTTACTGCTGGACAGAGTAAGGATGGCTTTCTAAGTAGTGCTGAATTGTATGATCCATCAACAGGAACTTGGGCAGAAACTGGCAGCATGAATAGTGGACGGAGTTGGCACACAGCATCCATATTAACAAATGAAAAAGTGTTAGTTACTGGTGGACAGAGTGATGATGGCTTGCTAAGTAGTGCTGAGTTGTATGATCCATCAACAGGAACCTGGATAAATAATCATAATGGAAATAGTTCACAAGAGGAGATCACAGTATCCGTATTAACAAAAAGAAAAATGTTTGGTATTGGTGAATGGTCAAATGTTAGTGTGGTCTGAACACTGCAGAAATATATATCAATCATCCAAAAAGTTAACATAATCAGCAGCTTTTGACATTACATACGATTATTCTTTTTGCAAGCATTATCCTTCAAAATTCGACTGTCTTATTTGTTCATTATTTCCTATTGTACCTCCGGCTATTTTGCTTAGAATCCCTTTTTGATCTACTATCACAATAAGCTATTGAAAATTTCGATGGTACTTGTGTAAAAGGCTATGGATTATCTAGAGGAGAAAGTGAGTGGTCTGACACTCTGACTTGGTCCCCTAAGTCTGTGGCAGACAGACAGAATAGGTAAAATCCTCTACCGTCACAAAACTAGATTGAAGGTATCCCAAACAAATCGAATTGATGGTGTCTGAACTCTAAGTTTTCAGTAATCGCTGATTTGACAAAAATTACTGGCAGATTATTGTTCACTTCCAATTCAAATGAAAGAATGCAGTGTTTGGTTACGAACATGTTTCCTAATCTTTATTCAGATTCCTTTATCAGTGCCGTACACTTTCATGAAGTATTATCCAAAACTTAGGTAAAAGTACAAAAAGCTAAGATTTTGAATGCAGCAGAAGAAAAATTTTTTTAATTTCAAGACAAGAGAATTCATGATCACAGAGAATCAAATGAAACTAGCACAGTACCAGGTTTGCTCTATTATTCTCGCTAGAATATTATTTTCGTATTAATTTATTTCCAACTGAAGAGATAGATGGTTTGTCACAATATGAGACAACACGATTAGAGAGATTTTTCTATTTTACTCTTTGAAAATGGGAAGCACGTATGTGTGCTTCGATTCTATTATCATCAGTGTGTGACCTAAACAAATCTCTAACGATACTCTAATAGCAGATACGACAGTATAGATCATAGATTTATCATTTCCAATACGGATGTCAGTAGGTGTGAGTGTTCTTCTTGAAGTGACATCCACACCCTATATTTGCGAATAAATGCATTGTTCAGTAGTTCAAAAAATTTCATTTCTTTTGCTATAGTAATCCCATCCCAAAGGATATAAATCAATAGTAAGAATAATAATAATTTTAAGCTAAGAAAAACATAATACCAAAAAGAAAAATGACGAGCGAATAGCAATAAGACAAACAGAAAATAGATGAAATTTCTGTTCGAAATGCAGAAATAAATAAGATGCATCGCTTCTCTGATGGTCAATTATCCTGAAAAGTATCTTTGGTCTGC